TCTTCAACATATTTATTGGGTTGTCAGAAAAGTCATGACACATTTTTGCAACGAAAAACATAGAAAACATATAATGACTTTTCCAACAACCCAATACTTATTTGCTTAATCCACCCCCCATGTAAGCGGTCTCCTTTTGCTGCTGAGTGTGGATGTCTTCCTTACCTCCCCTGGGCGCTGACCCTCCTCACCTTACAGATGCCCCCTCATCCTGCTTGGGTTCCATCACCCACATCTGGGATTTCTATTTATCTTGTCCCATCTTTTGGTTGAATTGAATTATTCAGAAAGGAAGGAAGGAAAGCAGTTACCTGGTTATTTTTTATTCTGTGCTGGACAGTATATATGAAATTATAGAAATTATTTAAGACTTAGGATTAATGAAATTTAATATAAGACCTATTCCTCCAGACAAACATTATTTCTACAGGTTCTGTTGTGACAGAATAAGAGGACAGTTTTATCTCTTTCTGGCTTGGGTTTACTAGTCAGTGAGTTCTCTAGCAAAAGAAAGGGTTACCCTTCTAAAACAAGCCTGTTTAGAAATGTAATGAAGTTCCTTTGAGCCAATTACTATTTTAGCCTTTGATACCTTTAAGGTTACTAGGATAACTTAGTTCCTAGTACTGCATCAAGACATGATTGCATAACAAGTGTCCTATGGTTCCATTCGTACAAAAGTCCAGAATAGGGGCATTCATAGAGACAGAACCATCAGCAGTTGCTTAGCTTGAGGGGGAAATAGGTGTGAATGGGGCGTCATAGCTAAAGTGTAGAGGTTTCTTTTTGAGGTGATGAAAATATTCTGACATTGACTGTGCTCATGGGTGTACATAATTGTGCATATACTAAATGCCATTGAATTATACACTTTAAATGGGTGAATTGTAGGGCATGTGAATTCTACCCAAGTCAAGCTGTTTAACAATTTTATAAAAATCAAGACATTTATTGTGACTTGCTGGGATCCTTAGGTCAACATGGAAACCATTGTGATGAGCCAACAGCACAGCTCTTCAGCAAAATAGGTAGTAGCTAGTCACAAACAGAACACTCGTACAACCATCCACCTTGTAGATTGCTTAGGAATGGCTGTATAATTTTCTGGCTGTGTAATCTTGAGCAAAGCACTTGAATTTCCCTAAGCCCAGGTTTCCTCACCTGGGAAGGGAGCATGCTACTGTCTGTTAGTGAATGAGAATGTCTGTGGAGCACACAGTAGGGCTCATGGCACCGAGCGGTCTCTGCTTAGTGGCCTTTTGTGATGAGATATGAAGCGTCATCAAATGAGCTGCTCTGAGCTCGGTGTCATGGTTTTCTAAATGGCCCTTGACTTTGCCTCTACCTGCCTGTCACGCCTGGCTCTGGTACTCGGCACCTGGTGGGAGCTGTGGGTGATAAGAGCTCATGGACTGAGCCTGGTCACTCAGAGAATTGGCTCTTAACTCCTCTGTGAGCACGAGTCTGAGCAAAGCCAGGGAAGCTCGCTGAGGCAGCTCAATTTAAAGTCTACAGGACCGAAAATGTACCAGGGGAGAGCTTACAAATATAGATATGACCATCGATTTGGAGTAGAAAAATTTATATCCTTCCCAATCTAAAGAGCCCTAAGTGGGCTGTAAGACCTTTTCCGTATAACATGGCATTTAAACTAGCCTCACCCGATGACTTGCCTGTGCTAACAGCCCCCCAC